AAATAAGAGCAATACAATGAACTTGAATGTCAATGTCGCCACTCTCTGGTCACACCAACACTGTATCCAATGTCGCACTTATGTCTGGTGCCCAGCGGTCAGCCTATCTAGCCTATCTACGTTCTTGCAACTGGTTCACTCTGAAGTCGAAGACCAGTCTACGTGACGTCAACACCAATGTTGACCACCAGCATACACCAGGTACATTCTCTTTCCTCCCCTCATCAGCCTCGTCTCCCCACTTCATGTGCCTCCTACCCGAAGACCACCTTCGCCATCACCTGCCCTGCGCCCCAGCTGCCCGGCTATGGCTGCTGTGCGCCCGCTGCCTCAGCAGTACCCCTCTCACCACTGCGCCCGTGTGCGTGTCTGACCAGCAACGCCCATGCGGACACTTGCACAGCAACGCAGCAGCGTGTCCGCATTGCCTGCCTAGGCCAGAAAGCCACTCCCAGGGGCTCACACGTGTTGCTGCTGGCTGTCCTGGCCAGGTGTGTGGGGGCCCAGTAGCTTCAGTTGGGCCCCAAGTGTCTGCGCCCAGGTCCAGTTTCCGAAACTGGTCTGGGCCTCGTGCAGTTAGGCACGTTCAGGCAGCCACCCAGCCTAAGTGTTTGCAGCATTCTGATTGGCTCACGGCGACAATGCTGCTTCCTCATTGGCCCCTAGCCAGTCTGTGATGCGTCGGCCTCACACAGCTTGTGCCCAGGGCGAAACCGCCTGAGCCCTGGGCTGAACTGTACAGCGCAGCCCCTTTGTTTTCGGAAAGAGCCTGGAGGCTCATGTTGTGCTGTAACCAATTGGCATGGTGCAACTGTGGAGTACCCACATATGGAAAAATTGTCGAGAACAGGCCTCACGTGGATATTCAGGCCCACCTTCACTTAGGGTGGCCACGAGGGTTGCTTCGGGCCACATCCCAGGACACTTGTATGTCTGATAAGGGCTCTGCGAGGCTCATTCCTCGCGTTCCATCCCCCTTAGCTTTGAAAGTCCGCTGAGATGCTTCTACGCAGGTGCCTTTCCCTTCAGTCTTCGTTCATACTCAGCCATGATTTGAGGTGCTGTCTTGACAAGCTCCTGTCTTGTGAACCAACGTTCTTCTTTTGGATCTGTATGATGCCTGAACCTGACCCGGTATTCCTTCATAGGTTTGGGCGGCCTCCCTCTGCCAGCAGGCTTGGGAACAGGCAAGTCTCGATGTTCCAAGATGTCATCGACGTCCACGTGGCCATCCATGGTTCGGGGCAGCATTGACCTTCTTGATGGAAATTGTTCTGTCTCAGCGAAAGGTGCAAGCTTGGAAGCGTGAAATACAAAGTAAGTGCGCAGATGACCAGGGATTCTTATGACGTACGAGGGACCATCCAGATCACTACCCACGATATCGAGAACTTCCCAAGGACTGAAGTACTTTGGCATTAGTTTTCTAGAGATGCCAAATTCCTGTCCAAGTTCACTAGCCTTTACCCAGACGCGTTCCCCTACCTGAAATGTGGACTGTCGGCTACGCTTATTCTCAGAGGCAATTATTGCCTCTTGAGATTTCTGATGTGCTCGACAGCCTGCTGCAACAATTTCTCATACCGGACACCGAATTCAATGGTTCCAGGAGTTGCAGTTGGTCAGTTTTCAGGTAGGAGGAAGTCTAGAGCAGATCTAGGATTCCATCCCAAATGCAGCTGGTTGCGACTGACGCCCATGGTGCTGTGTACAGCGTTATTATACAGACTAGCAATGAGAGGTAGTTTCTCATCCCTGTCATCTTGGTTGGGCTTGATGTACTGCCTCAGGAGGTGCTTCACCACACGGTTCATCTGTTCCGCTTGACCAGAAGGTGCAAAATTAATTGGAGCGGGCTGTGCAACAATCGCATTAGCAGGAGCCGTTGTAGGTATTGGAAATGTGTTTAGTTCTTTGATTCATTCTGTTGCACGAAATCCTTCATTGGCGAAGCAACTATTTGGTTATGGTGCGCCGTGCGTAAGAGGACACACGAAGTGCTGTGCCCTCGTCGAGATATTCTCTGGGCGTTGGTCACAACTCTCTCTGGTCAGCCGAAAGAAGGGGATGATTCCCAGAGGTCATATGGAGTTGGCTGCCCATCTGTTCAACAACCTTCTTCCACATTTCGCTTCTGAAACGGACATCTCTATCACTAACGATGGTCTTAGGTAGTCCAAAATCACGCACCCAATTATCCATGCATAACTTGATGACATGTTCAGTCCTTGCTGTCTCCTGCATGGCTATTAGTGAACATGTCCACCATGACGAAGATATGCTTCTTGCCACTCTAGCTGGTCACGAGGGTATCCATGAAATCCATGGAGACACTATCTCCCGGACCTGCAGGAATGGGCAAGGTCTTGAGTAACCCAAGCGGTGCTTGAGTACGCGGCTTGTCCCGCTAACAAACTTGACACGTCTGTACGTACTAATTTGCATCGTCAAGCATACTAGGCAACCAAAAACGTTGTACTAAGTTAGCGCTAGTCTTCTTGTATCCGAAATGCCCAGTCGCATCATGATATTCACCTAGAAACAAACTACACAAAATCTCACTACATGGAACAACTAATATTTTGAACCCTACCTTTTCAAGAAAGAGTAACCCATCTACCATCACAAACTCATCTGATGTGGCCTTGTCTTGAGCCTCAAGTTTGTGCATGATGTCCATTGTGACGGGGTCTTCCTTATAGGTTTCCACCATTGACCGAGTTACATCGTTAGATAAACTCAATTATTAGCGCACCTAGGTAGTCTGCCCTACGGGATAGCGCATCAGCAACCTTGTTGCATTTTCCTTTCATCTAGTCTAGTTTGAAGTCATATTGATAAATGACTTCAATCCAGTGTATGAGCTCCAATCCAGTGTATGAATGCGTCGAAGAGAACGGGTTGTGTCTTGATCCACTTGAGTGTATGATGGTCAATTCTCAAGTAGAAGAACCTTCCCAACAGATAATGTCTCCATTGAACAAGGGGTTTGTAGACGACATAGAGTTCCCTTTCGTAGGTGGATTTTGCCAACTTCTTTGACGGCATCTTCTTGCTCATTTACTTGATCGGCCTCAACTTTTTCCCTTCCTGTTGGGCCAGCACTTGGCCAATGTCATATTGGCTAGCCCCAATGGTCACAACGAATGCCCTCTGAGGATCGGGGACCATGAGAATCTCATGATGTGTGAGGGCGTAGTTCAACCTGTTGAAAGTAGCCTCACATGTGTCTGTCCATTCCCATGGCATGTCGAGGCGTGTTAGATCAGTCAAAGGGGAGACCGCCGTACTATAATTCTTCATGAAATTGCGGTAGTAGCCACACATCCCTAAGAAAGATCTGCCCTCAGTGACAGACTGGGGTCATGGCCAGTCACAAATGCTAGCCACCTTAGCATCTTCAGACCTTACCCCTTTTGTGGATATCTCATGACTCAAGTACAAGAGTACAAAATTTTAGTGCGACCAAACTCACATTTCTTTAAATTGATCTTATACTTGTGTTGTCATAGGAGTGACAATACTTTTAAGAAAATATTGGGCATCCTTCTCAACTGTTCTACTGAAGATAAGAATGTCGTTGAGGTACATGACAGTGAACTTATCCAAGTAGTCATGGAATATCCTATTCATGGCGTGCTGGAATGTGCTCGACGCATTGCAAAGTCCAAAGGGCATCGCTACAAACTCGTACAGACCGTACCTAGTCTGAAATGTCGTTCTGTGTTGGTCCTCTGATCTTATCGCAATTTGATGGTAACCAGACTTTAAATCTATATTTGTGAAGTATTTACATCCCTGTACCCTATCCAAAAGGTCGTAAATGCGCGGTAGATGCTCTATGTTTTCAACGGTGGTAACATTGAGGCCACTATAATCAATGCACATCCTCATTGTCCCCCTTTTCTTTGGGACAAATAGAACTGGTGAGCCGAAGGGGGAGGTACTAGGCCGAATCCAACCCTTTTTTGTAAGCTCTTTCAGTTGCGGACGAAACTCGTCCAACTTGGTCGGAGCCATCCTACAGATTCTCCCTTTTGGTGTCTTGGTACCTGGGATGATTTCTATGGCATGGACAACCTCCCCGTCTACAACTCCTGAAGGCTCCTCGAACAGGTCAGGGTACTTAGCAACGACAACTTCTATCTCTGGGGGTGATTTAACGACCTCCCCTTTCTCAGAGACAAAGGCTAAGTACATACCCTCCTCTTGGTTTTGTTTATAATAATTGTAGAATGTCAATGCACACATGCAACCGTAAGCGTCTATCAGACTACTAGCCTTATACTTCGCAAGTCTGATTGTCCTCCCTTCCGGTAGTACATGATTAAGTACCTTTCGGTCCTAATCGAACTCGGGCTTTGCAACCTCGAGGTAGTACATACCTAACAACATGTCAAATGGTAAGTAGTCGCTAACTAGGAAAATCTTATGATTTAGTTCCCCATCTCCATAGTAGAAGGTGCAGATTACGTCCTTGACGTAGTCATTCACAACCATGCGCTCTTTGTTGGCTAGAGTAGATGCTACAAATCCATCCAAGCGCTGCACCTGGTCCCCTAGGCGTAGCCTCTCAACGTAGTCGCGATTTATGAAGTTTCGCGTGGAGCCAATGTCTACGAAGGCACCACACTTGCGGCCACCTACACCAACTTCCACCACGAAATGCTCCCCTCTAGGACCTCCGGACAGTGCCACCCAAGTCTCACGAGGGTCCCTTGCCAACCACTCCGTTTCTAAGTCTTCTAAGGTTTCAAACACATCCAGCGAACAGAGTGTCATTTGGTCACAATGTGCCTGGAGGGTGACAAGTGAGTCAATAGCTTCGGCCAACTTTTGAAGTGGCGAGGGTACGTCACCCACTTCAGCATGAGTAGAAGCAGCTAAAACCTCTACTAGCCGGATGTGTTTAGGGAATTTGCGCTCGTAGAAGCACCCCTCTAGGCGAAAGATCTCCCAAAACCACCTTTGGGAGGAATCTTTTGAGAGACTTTCTCGTTCTTGTATTTAAACCGCTGATGGTCATATTCGCCACAGATAATGCAAGCTCCTTGCGAATACCGGTCTCTCCACACATCCTGATCCAGGCCCGCCCTCACCCAAGCCAAACTTTTGTTTGAGTTTTGGGCTTGCCCCTAACTCTATGACCTCTCTAGTGCGTGGAGGTGGTGAGCTGTACTGCGAGCCCGCCGTCTGACTTGTGGAAGGTCCTACACTCATCCCGCTGGATGAGGCGGAGGAACTAGCTAAGGTTCTTGACGTCTGCCGACCTTGAGAGGTCGCTGCAGATGTAGCCATCGCTACTACGCTAGCTTCTGCTGCTGCTAACACTTGTTCCGCCACTGGTGCTACCTCCCTAGCAGTCTTCAAATGTCGCCGCAGATAATGCAAGCTCCCTGCCAATACCGGTCTCTCCAGACATCCTGATCCAGGCCCGCCCTCACCCAAGTCGGACTTTTGTTTGAGTTTTGCACCTGCCCCTGACTCTTTTGCTGGCTGCCCTTGTCGCGGCCAGCTGCCTTTCCTTTGGTTATGGTGGCGAGGTTGCCACCCCCTTCAATCTCCTTGCCACCCATCTCTGTTTCCTCCACAAGATCAAAGAGATCATTGATCTCGGTTTGATTCCCATCGGAATCAACTATCATCAACCGACTACCCTTCTTCTTCCATTCTTGTGGGGGCTTCTTCTCCCTACCGTCCGTGGCAGGTTGTTGTGCCCCTCCTAGCTTAGCCTCTAAATCTAGGGCCTTTTTGCTGAAGGAGTCAAGAGTGTGATAATCGATGCTTCCCTCACTAACCATCATGTTCTTGATGTTGTGGGAAGACTTCTCAGATACATGGTTAGCAAGACTTGTGGATCATAGTGGACTATCGGGACGACTATGAGTTTTTTCACGGCGGCGGTGAGCTCCCGCGAGGACTTGTACCTTTTGGTATAAAGTCGGGCCAATGCATCAGTGGCATGTTGGGCCTGCTGTGGGTTGTGCTATCGCGTTTCAACCAACGTTTTTTCGAATCACACAAAATTCGAACAGCGACGGCGTCAGAGGCCTCAATGTGCTAACACTATGTGAAAACTGAGAAAGTGCAACTATCCAGTGAAAGTCGTGAGTGCAGGCCTGCGATGGATGCAGCGCCGTGAAAAATCAACCTTGTGGGTGGGGTTACTAAGTATTGTACGACGGCTGTTTCCTGGGTAAAAAGGGAAAATGGGGGCTCACGAAGGCCTCCATATTCATGTTGTTGCATCAGCGTGTACATGGGCAGCGAAAGCAACCCCGTCGCTTAAGTGCCCTCACAGGAGTGACGCAGAAGACGACAACGGGTGATGAGTGTGCTGGCCAGAACGGGCTGCGATGGTGATACGTGCGCAGCATGCACCTGGACGGGAAGGGGGAGGAATTCAATGCACGTTTTTTGGTAGAGTTTGATAGATCTTTCGAGAGATTCTTTTGTGACTAGGTGCAAGGTCACTTTCCGGAATAATTATAAGGATAAATAGATCTGGGATATTTTCGAAGGTAACCACTTCTTGTCCTACATAGAAAGAAACGGCCTCGACGCTACATTCGGGTTCGTATGTATCGGCCCCAAATCACAGACCAAAGGGATTATAAAAAACCAAGGCGGTGAGCAGAGGATGTTAGTCCTCTCTTTCCCGCCTACTGCATTTTTCTGAAAGAAGTAAGTCGCAGAGCCGGTGGTCTCTGGACTGGACCAGAAACAAAATTTGCATTTTTAGAATTTAATTTAATTAAAACATAGGTGGTCGCGCGGCATACGCGCCGCGAACGTCGGGATGGAGTAGTATTTAAGACAGTTGTAGGCTGAAGTTTCCTCAATCTGAGTGGCGAATGAGTAGAAGGATTGAGATCCTCGACGGTGGAAATTGGGGAGATGCCGGGGAGATGGTGATTTCGCCATGATATTAAAACTCATGTCACCTTCTTCTTCTTATTGAGTACCATATTGTGATTGCTGATGGTAGGAGCCCTACGCTCGACCTTGCCGTGGCTTGGGAACGTGCGGAGGGTGCCGACAACACGATCGTGTAGTCGTGCAGAGTCGTGCATAAGTATTTTGTTACACTTATTTTATACTTATATTTATACTTATACTTTTACTTGTGCCTTTCATATACTTGTGCGTTGCATTTGCTTTCATTCGCCTTCATTTGTCTTCACGTGGTTTTCACGCGGTTTTTATTTGGTTTCCTTGTTGATGAATTCACTGTTTTTTACAAGCGGTTCACCAGCTTTCTTAGTATTCGTCACTTGCTTTTATTTGCTGTCACTTGGTAAAGTATAATTCTCGAATTTGGCTTTCCAGTTTCGATTGCTTTTTGATCTTCGATCATTTTGTACGATTATTTTATGACTTATATTTCTCTAATTCACTCGTATTCGACCAGCTGGTTCTGAGGATTTTTTTGCGCATGCCTGAAGCCATCGCCGTTGGTCTCGGGTTAGTATGGTCATATAGACAATTGGGTTGGCTTGTGTCTCGTCTTTATCTGAAGGGACCAGCAGCCAACTCTCTGATCCCCTCGGTCAGGCTCTTGCGCTTCCGCCTTGCGCTTCTGACTTGCAGGTGAAGACACACGTGAAGACCAAAGACCCCAAGCCACATGAGAGCCCTGTGCAGCGCGAATTGGATGCAAGCGGTGGATGGTGATCTGCATCAATTGGCGCGAAGTGTCACTGTTGAGCACGGCGGAGGCAAAGTGGGCGATTGCATTAAGCGTGAGCTGCGGGATCGTGGCCGGCTTCACTATCGGTCGCATGACTGGATGAGGACGTGGTAGCAAAATTGGCGGTCCACGTGGACGTTGGTCTAACGACGGTCGCTACTGGATGGAGAACAACGGAAGTGGGAGCGGTTGGCAGAGTAACCAGGCCACGTACAGTCTACCCTCCCGACGTCAATCAGCACCACTATAGGGTGCCATATCAGCAGTCGATCGCAACGCTGGCCGCCGCCCCTGTACAACCTGTGCAATCTGCGCAACCTGTGCAGCAACCGTTGCATCCTGTGCAACCAGCACAGTTTCTGTTGGCTCAGCACGGACCTATTCCGCAACCTTGGGGCATTAAACCTTGGCAGATGCCCGGGCAGTGGCCGATCAATGGGCAGTGGGGTGCTCCGCCATCTGCTAGTATGCCGCCTCTTGTGAATCCTCCTCCAGTACCAAACTGCAGCACACCAAGTAGTACTGAGCGGCTCAACCAATGCTCCGAACGGAAATGCTCGTAAAGGCCCGGCGGCGAATGAATTTCCTGGACCAGGCAACAAAGCGTACTTCACGAAAGAATACATGGATATTCTAGAAGACATCAAGATGAACAAAGTCGTTGAGGAGGCGAAGAAGCGGCTATCTGGGAATCGTAGAACCAGTGTACGCATTGCCGACTCGCTAGATGTTGGAAGTCGATCGGACGTGCGCTCCGCCGAAGAATCGAAGTTTGCTGACAAGACCGACGAGATGAAAGCTTGGGTCACGATGACATTTGGGAGCTCTCTCAAACTCATTACAGAGAAGCTTCAAGAGGTAGATCAGAAGGTGAAAGTGTCCGCTGCTGAAAAAGCCGAATTGGCGAAGCTGCGAGAGGAGAAAGCCGCCCTGGAGAAAGATACCGCTGAAAAGGAAATAGTGGAGAATGGGGGGCGGGAGTTGTCGAGTAGCGAGAAGCGAAAACGGGCGGTTGAACGTACGCCGATTGGTAACTCACCTCGAATCAACCGAGTCAGATCGCGGGGTAGTAAGACCAAGCCACGAACGAAGCGCATAGATGTATCGTCAGATGACGAAAGTGACAAGGCAGGCAAGGTGAAGCAAAACCTCCAGCCGAAGATGGAGATAAGCAGCGAGCTGGCCGACATCAAGACCATGCTGACTGCGCTGTTGAATGGCCTAGCGGATGCCAAAGGAAAGACCCCCATCATTGAGCATGCACCAACTTCGGCACCAGGGGACAAGGTACCGAGTGAGGATGAAGATGAGGATCTCGTCCAGAACGCAACCAACAAAGAGGACGAGGAAGACAGCGATGAAGGGGGCCTCGCTGCATACATGAAGATGAGGCAGGAATTTTGTAGCTCCCTGCACTACACGCGTGTCCAGGAGCTGTGCAAGCATAAAGGCATCCCCTACTTCAAGAAGGATCTTGGAGCATGGGAACTGGCGAAGATTGACCTCCAAGAATGCACGGACATGCTGAAAGGCGAAAGGCCTGATAATGCTTCGGAACCGTCGTCACGTAAGACTAAAGCACGATCGGCTGGAGGCACCGAGAAGCCGTCTATGTCAGACAATCCCGTTAAGGGAAACTGATCGGAGGGAGTATTCGATCGAAGCGACGAGCATGTAATCGTATTGCTTGTTTAAAGTCGATCGTTGATAATTCACTTGCTCACTTGCTTGAGAAACTGCATGTCCTTGTGATTCTCAGTGCTTGCCTGGCTGAGGAAATTGCCTGAGGCCGGGTATACCTTCGATTCTGGTTACGTATGGCACCAGAAGAATGGGATCGGATGTCGGAGGGGCATAGCTGCGTATATGTCCTAATGTCGTTGTCTCATAAAGCAGTGTATGTGGGTAAGACTACTCGTACACTAAGGTAACGATGGATGGAACATGTAAGGGCTGCGAAGGGGATTAGTAAGCAAAAGGTGCACACCTGGATTAGTAAGGTAGGGCTGGGGCATTATGTCCCTGTTCCCATCTGGTTTGGTGATGAGAACACGATTGACCATGTTGAGCAAGTCATTATTAAGGATTGTAACCCCGGATTGAATGCGAGAGGTCGAAAAAGTCGAAAATTGCGAAGGGCTAGGGGGTCGAAGTCTCGTAAGCAGACTGGGTGTCAGCCATCCCAGGTCGTGGAACTGTTGTTTTTTAATTGCCCAGAAGTTGGGGTGGTGAATGATCCTGACCTGCTGAGGATTTTAAAGCTTGCCAAAAAAAGAAAAAGCAGGAAGCCGGTCGAGATAGTGAATAAGCCAGGTGGTAGATGGTTGAAGTCGTGGCGACTGGTTGCTCTCCTGTTTGGTTTTTCCAAGGTTGAATGCCATGGCAAGAAGCTTTTATTGCGAAATCACATTTTGAAGAAGGTGGCCTGATTACGGTCTATTGCCTTGTTAGAACGGTTACAAAGACTGATTTGCTGAAACATGAGTTAATTGCTCTTTTGCGTGCCCCGTGGAAGCGTCGTGACTTGTATAGATTATCGCTTGAGGAGCTGGTCGACCTTAACAATGCAGTTAAGACTGTGAATCAGCTGAGGGGACGGCAGACGATTCGTGGTATAATAACCACAGTATTCAAGAACAGGTTCGGAATCAACCCGCGTGCAAAGATTACTGTAAAAATTCCCTTTTGTACCACGATAGAAAAAAAGAAGGTTGAGTCTGAGGTGAAGCAGTGGATTTTGGACCATGTCCAACCTACCAAACTCGGTGACTTGTATGTGAGGAGGACCAGGGCAGTCTGGCTGAAAGCCAAATCTGTCGCAGATCCCTTGCATAATCAGAAATCGTTCGCACAACAGTCGTGCTTTGAATGCACCTGTGCCGATTTCGACCTGCCCAAGACTAACGGGCATGTGGCAGTTAAACTGAGTGAGGTAGCTGGGCTGCATCCGTTCTTTTTTAATGCTAAGAACGTACCCTTTCCTGGCTCGATGGTGTCCAAGGAAGGGGTAAACCGTGCCTGTAATGAGGCTCTTGACTGCCTGCGAAATATGAATGTCGTTGCAGGTACCATGCATTGTAATTTCCTGCAGATTACTAAGCGCGGGGAACCAATGATGGAAGGTTGTGTCCTAACTGAGTACGTGAAAGGGGTGAAGCAAGCCCTGAGTGGGCTCGTCCTTTCCCCCCTGGATCGTAACCTCGGTGAAACCTGGATCGAATGGCCGGTATTGTATGAGGCCGGGCTCAAACTCATGCTTTTGGAGAACGGTAACTATGAAGTTGTTCCCAGTACAAAAATGGAGGTTCTGGCCAAAATGCCGACGAGATATGAGGAGGCTGGTTTGGATAAGATTGGGAAGTGGGATAGGAACAGGGATTTGCAACACGCGTATATCCTCTCGAAAGAGAAGGACAAGCGGAAAAAGAGGCCCATTTTTCCATCTTACTTGAGCCCCTTTAGGGCTGCGTCCGGCGTGTTGTCCACAACACTGAATGCCCTCATTTCTCAGACAGATGAGCGGGATTTTAACTTACGAACGATAAGTGATCTAGTTAGTAAAAACTGAAATCCGGAATGTTAATGAGAGATTGGACAAAGTGGGAGGGAAACTTGGGATTGTGGCCGGTACTTACGATATAAAGGAAATGTTTACTCAGCTTCCGCACGAGGAAATTAGGAAAGTTGTTTCTGGGATCATTGGTTGTTTTGCAGCCAAATCTGTGAAATGGATTCAGGTGAATCCTCGAAAGAAAGCTGCCCACTTCCGCAAAGCCCAGGGCGAAGCAGGCTGGAAGTCCGTTCGGCTGACCGATTTGGTAGTGCTCACGAAGTTCCTGCTTGCGAACACGGTTTTCTTGGCTACCGACGAGGTGGTCCGACAAAAGAGAGGTATCCCCATGGGGGCACGGCTAGCCCGCCACTCGCCTGCATAATGTGCATGTATGCCGAGAATCAGTTTCTGAAGGGCCTCAGGTCGGACCAATCGCTAGTTATGGGAAAACGCTACATTTATGACCTGTTTATTGCGTCGTTGTTCTATAAGACGGTACCAGATGCAAGAATTGAAGCCGATAGCAGGCTCGACCAAGTAACGCACTGCTACCCGGAAGGCCTGGTTTTGGAACGGACTAACCCGGGTGTAGGCATTCTTGATTTCCGTGAAACAAGGTTGATTGTATGTGACGAGCAACAAATCGTAATGTCGCACAAGTTTAAGAACTCGGATTCGATCTGGTCCTCTGAACCTCTCAGTTTCCAGACATACAAGAGCATCGTATCGTATGGGCCAAATACATCAAAATTTGCCACAGTCGCGAATACGTTTTTTCGAATCAGACAAAATTCGAACAGCGACGGCGTCACAGGCCTCAATGTGCTAACACTATGTGAAGAACTGAGAAAGTGCAACTATCCAGTGAAAGTCGTGACTGCAGGCCTGCGATGGATGTAGCACCATGAAAAATCACCCTTGTGGGTGGGGTTACTAAGTATTGTACGACGGTTGTTTCCTGGGTAAAAAGGGAAAATGGGGGCTCACGAAGGCCTCCATATTCATGTTGTTGCATCAGCGCGTACATGGGCAGCGAAAGCAACCCCGTCGCGTAAGTGCCCTGACAGGAGTGACGCAGAAGACGACAGCGGGTGATGAGTGTGCTGGCCAGAACGGGCTGCGATGGTGATACGTGCGCAGCATGCACTTGGACGGGAAGGGGGAGGAATTCAGTGCACGTTTTTTGGTAGAGTTTGATAGATCTTTCGAGAGATTCATTTGTGACTAGGTGCAAGGTCACTTTCCGGAATAATTATAAGGATAAATAGATCTGGGATATTTTCGAAGGTAACCACTTCTTGTCCTACATAGAAAGAGACGGCCTCGACGCTTCACTAGGGTTCGTATGTATCGGCTCCAAATCACAGACCAAAGGGAATATAAAAAACCGAGGCGGTGAGCAGAGGATGTTAGTCCTCTCTTTCCCGCCTACTGCATTTTTTTGAAAGAAGTAAGTTGCAGAGCCGGTGGTCTCTCGACTGCACCAGAAACAAAATTTGCATTTTTAGAATTTAATTTAATTAAAGCATAGGTGGTCGCGCGGCGTACGCGCCGCAAACCTCGGGATGGAGTAGTATTTAAGACAGTAGTAGGCTGAAGATTCCTCAATCTGAGTGGCGAATGAGTAGAAGGATTGAGATCCTCGACGGTGGAAGTTGGGGAGATGCCGGGGAGATGGTGATTTCGCCATGATATTAAAACTCATGTCGCCTTCTTCTTCTTATCGAGTACCATATTGTGATTGCTGTCATGAAGCTCTCTAGTATATAGGTTTTTGCCCAATCATCCATCCTCCGGGCGAACCCCTCGGATGCCACTATTCCAGCTAGCCATCTAGCTGTCGATCACAAAGATATGAGGCGGCAATGATCACCCCTTCTTCTAGCAACGTCCTCTTCTCCCTAACCCATACTGGAACCGTCCTCCACCATGTGTCAAGTGCCTTGTCCTTCTTATCTCCTGAGAAAGACGGGGGCGGTTTCAGTGGAGCCTTCGGGTACCAAGCCCGCTATAGTCCCATTTGTTGAGCTGGCTGCTTCCTCATAGCCGCAACAGCTGGACCTGAAGGTGAAGAAGCAGCAGTCTGTGCTGCTGCTGCTGACGTACCACTTGGTGGGGTACCAAATCCAGGGGCAAATGGGCCACTTATCTCCAATGTTACTACTGGCGATGGGAACGCTGCCTGTGGCCAGGCATTGGGCCCACCAGCTAAGGAGGGATGTGGTCCTCCTCTTGTTTGCATGGCATTCCGTATCTGGTCAAGGGTGTCCTCGATTGCATCCAGCTGTAAGAGAATTAACTCCACTTGCTGGAGTTCTATGGCCTCTCTAGTGCGTGGAGGTGGTGAGCTGTACTGCGAGCCTGCCGTCTGACTTGTGGAAGGTCATGCACTCATCCCGCTGGATGAGGCGGAGGAACTAGCTAAGGTTCCTGGCGTCTGCTGACCTTGAGAGGTCGCTGCAGATGTAGCCATCGCTACTGCGCTAGCTGCTGCTGCTGCTAACACTTGTTCCGCAACTGGTTCTGTCTCCCTAGCAGTCTGCAAATGTCGCCGCAGATAATGCAAGCTCCTTGCGAATACCGGTCTCTCCACACATCCTGATCCAGGCCCGCCCTCACCCAAGCCGGACTTTTGTTTGAGTTTTGGGCCTGCCACCGACTCTTTTGCTGGCTGCCCTTGTCGCGGCCAACTGCCTTTCCTTTGGTTATGGTGGCGAGGTTGCCACCCCCTGCACTCTCCTTGCCACCCATCCCTGTTTCCTCCACAAGATCAGACGGATCATCGATCTCGGTTTGATTCCCATCGGAATCAACCATCATCAACCGACCACCCTTCTTCTTCCATTCTTGTGGGGGCTTCTTCTCCCTGCCGTCCATGGCAGGTTGCTGTGCCCCTCCTAGCTTGGCCTCTAAATCTAGGGCCTTTTCGCTGAAGGAGTCAACAGTGTGATAATCGATGTTTCCCTCACTAACCATCAGGTTCTTGATGTTTGTGGAAGACTTCTCAAATACATGGTTAGCAAGGCTTGTGGATCATAGTGGACTATCGCGACGACTATGAGTTTCTTCACGGAGGCCGTGAGCTCACGCGAGGACTTGAACCTTCTGGTATCAAGTCAGGCCAAAGCATCAGTGGCCTGCTGCGCCTGCTGTGGGTTGTGCTATCACGTT